TTACCATCATACATCTATAAAGAGCTGGGCAGCGCTACTTTGAAATATAGCGGCCGCTACCGCTACATGCTCTAAATGTAGCGGGCGCTACCGCTACCGCTACAATTGCTTAAAGGTAGCGCCGCTACCGCTACCGAAAATGTAGCGGACGCTACATGTAGCGCGCTTCTGCCCACCTCTGGTAACAACTAACATGTTGACACTAGTAACAGGCTGAGGTTGACAACATTACACCGAAAACTTTCGTACAGTTTTATTCTGTAATTTATATTATGTATATATCATGCTGGTTTTTAAATAATATTTAATACTATTAGGTAAAACCTAAAGGCTTTATCTATAAATGTAGCGGTAGCGCTGTAGCGGCAAAACCTCGTATCGCTACTTAAATATGTAGCGGGCGCTACCGCTACAATTGTAGCGCCGCTACCGCTACTGAAAATGTAGTGGCCGCTACATGTAGCGCGCTACTGCCCACCTCTGCATTTATATAATAACTTGAGACGTATCCTTTTACTATTCGTATTGGAGCTCGGCAATTGAAATGATTTTTGCTACGAATACATGTTGTGGTTCATTATGGTAGTTAAACTTGACAGGCAAATACAAATGGACAAATACGTTTTTTTCAAAAGTTGTGTTCTATGATGGTTTGGAGGAGGCCATACTAGCTGTAGCTGGTGACATCGGCTGACTGGACAGACTTTGATTTGCCTCCAGCTCAATCACAGAATCAGATTCATCGATCTTGCCTTAAGCAATCTCCTTCAACAAAAAGTTTGAAAAGAAATATCAACAACATTTTAAAATATAACAAAGTTTAAGTTGGAAAAAATATAATAGTATGATCTTCAAAAAAGAACTCGAAATATCCATGTGTATCCTTTCTACACAACGTAAAACAAGCCCAAGTGTTTGATAACAATTTAGGAAACTGCGCAATTGTGAAGATTTCCTGGAATCCGCCTGCCCTCACCCACTTCCTGCAATTCAACTGCAACGGCCTGCGCCACTGTGCAGTTGAGTTGGCCCACTTCCTGGTCACCCACTCCATCCTTGTCACTGCCATTCAAGAAAGCAAACTAACCGTGACCTCAAACCCCCCCACCTTCCCCAGTTATACCCTGGTCCGCCGTGACAGACCCATAGGTCCTCGTGCCAGTGGTGGCGGTCTCTGTTTCATTGTGAATCACACCATCTCATACTCCCCAGTCCCCTCTGACCACCTGTTCCCAGGCGATTCCACAATGGAACACCAAGCCATCTCTATCTCTATCAATGGTGCACAACTCCACCTCTATAACATCTACATCCCACCACCCACTTCCTGCCCCCCTGGCTTCTCACCCTCCTTGACCCCACTGCTTGAGCTGGACACCCATAACACCATCATTATGGGCGACTTCAAAGCCCACAACCCTGCGTGGTACTCCACTACTCAAGATGACCGCGAGGCTGCCCGAGGCACAGCCTTAATCAACCAAATAGACTCCAGCCAGTACATTCTCCTCAACCAAGACACCCCAACCAGGCTCCTGTCGCAAGGAGCCCCTTCCTCGCCCGACCTCACCCTTATCAGTCCCCATCTGGCCCTGGACGCTGTCTGGACCCCACTCGCCCGCCTCAACTCTGACCATCTTCCCATCTCCATCTCCTTGGATTCTCTGAACCCCCCCAACAACCACCCTACATGCACTTATATTAACTTCCGTCAAGCAGACTGGGAGGGCTATACTGCCAATACAGAGACCGCCTTTAGCGCTGCTGCTCACCCCTCTTCCTGCTCCCAGGCTGAGATCCTCTTTAGAAGGATTCTCACCTTGGCAGCCCGCCGACACATCCCCCATGGATGTAGAAGGGATTTCATTCCCAACCTCCCACCATCTCTCTCATTCAAGAGCATGACAGAACCCGAGCCCTGGACCCCAACCACCCCAGCCTACCGGACCTCAACAACAATATCTCAGCCGCCATTTCCACTCACTCCCACTTAACCTGGATTAAGAAAGTCCAGTCCACCAACTTGCAGAAGAATCCAGCCAAATTCTGGTCACTCCTGCGCTCCCTCTCCGGCAAATTAGCTAGTCAAGCCCCCCAACCAACCCATTTCCTTCAACAACTCTCATGCCACTGCGGACCACATTATAGCCACTTCATTCTGACGCCAATTTACGCTGATTCCCCACCACCAGCGTGACCCCTCCTGCAGGTCCACCTACAGAGGCATCAAGCACCGCAATCCTCTCTCCGACACACCCCCGGCCTTCACTCCAGATCAAACAAGACAGGCAGTTTGGAGCTCGGGTACCTCCACCGCCACCAGCCCGGACTCCCTCACCATCCTCCACCTCCGTCACCTGGGTCCCAGAGGCATCCAGCACCTCACAGAACTTTTCAACCTGTCCCTTGCCAAGGCCAACATCCCTGCCATCTGGAAGTCAGCCACAATCATTGCCATCCCAAAGCCGGGCAAACCCCCGTTCATAAGCTCCTCATACCAACCCATCTCCCTCCTGTGCCCATCTGTAAAGGTGTTGGAGCGTCTGCTCCTCCCCTCTCTCAATGCTGCACTCCCACTGGTGGACTCCCAGCACGGTTTCCGCTCCCTTCACTCCACAACGTCTGCCCTACTTCCTCTAACCCAGGCCATAGCCACAGGCTTCAACCAGCCTTGCCCACCAACCAGGACAATAGCGATGGCCATTGACTTCAGCAAGGCTTTCGACACTGCCTCACGCCCAGCTCCTCTCTCACATTGCCTCCACTCCCCTCCACGCCAATATCACCGACTGGCTGATCTGCTACATCAGAGGCAGGACTGCCAGGTGCTCTTACAACAGCTGCACCTCTTCCCCGCGTCCGGTCCTTGCTGGAGTCCTACAAGGCTCCATCATCTCGCCCGTCCTTTCCAACTCCTAGGTCTCAGACTTCCCCCAGCCCGCCCCTCTAATCGCCAGAACCAGCTGGGGACAGCAGAAGGAAACCCTCCTGGTGACTTTCAAGGCTCTTATAAAGTCCCTTTTCACCTACGCTGCCCCAGTGTGGTTCCCAAACACCTCTCCTTCGACAATCTCCAAGCTGCAAACCATTCAAAACTCTGCCCTCCGCATAGCCACGGGATTTCTTCTAATGGCCTCCGCTTCCCACCTGCACAGCAAAGCTGAGGTCTTACCCATGGCCGAACACCTCTCTCTACTCTGCTTGCAGTTCCTGGCCAGTGCTCTACATCCACACCACCCTAGCTACCCTATTGTCACCCAGACATCAGGGCCCCATTCCATGAAGCACATGCTTCAGTCCCACTTCCTCCCTTCCGTCTCTCACCTGCTGGTAGAGGGATCCCTCCCCCCGACACCTACTCCGCTGCCCTCAGCACCCTGCACAGCTCCGCTGTCTCATCCTACCTGGAATCAGCAGCTCCCAACAAGGTGCTGCTGACCCCTGCCCCCCACTGTCTTGTCCAGCGAGCTTTCCCTCCCCATGGCGGCCAGAAGTGCCCTTTCACAACTCCGCTCTGGCTACTCATCATGGCTCAACTTGTACCTTGCCCGCATTGGTGCAGCCAACAGCCCACTCTGCCCTGAGTGCGGCGCAATAAACCACACCACCCATCACCTCTTCAACTGCCCTTCGCATACCACCTTGCTGACCCCACTGGACCTCTGGTCTAACCCTGGGCCTACTGTGGCTTTCCTCTCGTCGCTCCCATCCTTCGCCGACATCCTTGGAGCGGAACCTCCGCTCTCCCTCCTCCCCCGGAGCTGCCGCCTCTTTGTGGCGCCGCTGAGCAGCGGTCCCAGGCAATTAACAGTAACAAATTACATCAGTGCACAGGCAATGCAAATGTGGCCCTGGCCCCCACTTGAGGCAAGGAGCGTCCATTATCATTCCTAGTACCGGTAACTTGTGCTGTTGTTCATATCTAAGTGGTTGTTGACCAAACCTCAAAACTGGCACATTTACACGCTTATGAGTAAAATATTGAAAGACGGTTTTCTGTGCATTTACTACAAACCCTGAAACCCCCAAGTTGTGCGGTATGTCTTAAATATGTTCAGGTATTGTTGTGTGAGAGACTTGGCTGCTTGTATTGTCGGGCCCCAGACTGGACACAAACTGTTATATCATCAGCATATGCCATATGATAGCACGTTGATAATTGATTCCACCTAGCTGAGGAATATCCATCAACATGAGGTTCAAAAGTAAAGGGCTCAAAACAGCACCCTGCGGTACCCCAGCAGATAATGGGAGGGGGTCCAACCGTCCGACAGGATTCTATTGACCTGTACACAAGCAGTGTAAGATGTCAAATATGCATGCAGCCAACGTGCCAATGGAGTAGCACTGTAGCAGCAGTATGCACAAGCAGCACCACCAATTCCAGCCGTTGCCAATTTATAAAGCAGACCATCTATCCAAACCTTGTCAAAAGCAGATTGCAAATCTATATAGGTACATGACTAAACACACCTCAGGGCCCAGGGGCAGTCAGGGCTCAGAAGCGACTTGAGCCAAACAAATATCTTTCTCTAACCGAAGCAGAACATCCATAGTGCTATTATCTGCTATACCTATGTGGCTACGTCAAAATGATCTACACTGGCTTGGGGAGCATGGTGGCAAAGCAGATAATTTTTTAGCCTCTTCCTCAAGTTCATTTTTGAGTGTGATAAGTAGACCAGCAAGAGCAAAGTATCATGGATACCATCATACCACCAGCATTATCATAAGAAATTGGTTGAAATCTTGAGTAAATGAGGAAACTAAAAATGAACTGATTCTAAAAAATCTCTGGTTTGTCACTAATCTCGCTATGTATAATCATAATGGGGGAGAGAAGGGACATACTGTCAACCAAATAGTCATAGGTACTCCAAGCGAGCAGCGACAAGACGTTCTAATAATTTACCAAGACAGGACAGCAGCGCCATATGGCTTGACTGGAGTTATAGACTTATAGTCACGCTGAGATTGCAAGGCAATGGAACACGTCTTACCTTGATCACAGTTCAAACGAGACTGTGTGCATTTGACGGATGACGGTCACCCCCATCAAGTTTCCAACCACTTTTCAGGCATGCCGCAAATCAAGCGCGAAAAGTCCATGTTTTCCGCACGTGCGGATGTATTGACAGTTAACAACATCGGAACGGAGAAAGTCAGTTGCGTTCGTGGCGAAAGCACGTGTGTAATTATCGTTCCTTGAAATAACCGGCGAATTTTGAAGCTATAGATATTCAGATTTATTTGTAATCCCTTGCTCAAACCTACAATTAATACATTCAGACGCAACTGGCTCTCTCCCTCTGGCCTCTGAGCCTCTGAGGTTTGCCAGTCTGCTTTGAATTTTTTGAATTTTTATTTTTTTTTTTTTTTATTTTATTAGTTTTTTTCTATTTGTTCAATTTTTTTTTCTTTTTCTTTCTCTTTTTTTTATTTATTTTTTTTTTACTATTTTTTTCTTCCTCTTTTCTTCTTCCCTTTTATTTACTCCCTCTTTGTTAATTTGTTGCTGTTTGTTTTCGTTTATTGGGCAAGTTGAACTCTTCCGACATGAGTGATCCCAGCTGCCTTGCTGGCGCAGGGTTTGGTCCTCCTGAAATTAGTGGAAGCGCAGAAGATGGTGGTAAGGAAAATGAAATGATAAGTGATTGTCTGGATGATGAGGTTGTTGCTTCTGATGGTTTAGTGGAAGAATCTGAAACTGACTGTGGAAGCATCATTGAAGCAACTCCTAATCCTATGGAGGCACAGATTGTTGGACGAAAGCGCAGAAATAGAGAAAAGAGCTCATCAAGTGAGAGCCTTCAGAGGGGAAACGTGAAGCGTCCTGCAGTGCAAAACAATAGAATTCAACAGAGTGGCTCTGCAAAGGGCATCAGCATGACAAAAGTCAAGGCGGTCAAGCTTCCAACCAATGCTACCCTGCAAAGTTCTGGGGGTGGAAGAACAATACTGATCAGACCTCAGGGTCCAAATGCTGTGACATTTCTCAAAGATCCTATTGGACTTGCACAGGGAATCAAAAGCTCACCTTTTGAGGAACTTTGCTTGTGCACTTGCTGAAATGATGTTCCTCAGAGCAGACCAGACATCGAATCTTGCATGTGCATCCTTTTGCTGAGTGTCCAAATCTTTGACAGTGAAAGCACTGTAATGGAGGAAATTCATAAGCATGAATTGAGTAGGACAAGTAGCCAATTTTCATTCTTGTTGGCAATTCATGGCCCTCAAAAACAACTCGAACAGAGGTTGATGGTACTCTGTTCCCATCCACTGACTTGCAAAGCCTCTCCATCTTCACAAACTTGCTTGAGCTGCATGTATCCACTCGTCCTGCTAAGGTGCTGATGTCAGATTGGATGTCAATGGGGCCTATAACTCCATAGCAAAATCTGCCCCGATTAGGCTGGGTGCATGTAACAGGCCAAGTACCCAGCTGAGTCATCTGCAAAAGTGAATTGATAGCTGCCTCACAGTATTCGGCAAGTTCCACTGCAACTAATCCTTTGCGTCGATTTACACGTACTGACGTACATCCTTAATGTGCATGGCATTGAATGGTGGTGCTTCCAAGGCTATGCATAGCTGTTCTGGTGAAATCAGCATCCTCTTGGCATCCTCACTTGCAGGCCTAATCAATACCACTCTTGAATTATCGTGATCTGCTGCATTTCTGCTTTCCTGTATGTAAGTAGGTGTTCTCTGGTTTTCAGAACCTTCAACAGCTTCCGCAAATCTGCACTGTACATTTGGGCGCTTACGTAAACCATTACCATCTGCCATAATTTCCTCACCAGACTGCATGGAACCTTTACGCTTCTTCCCAGTACTGGCAGTAGTGTTCGGTGCAGCATTTCCATTCAATGATAGAGTCGAATCATTGTTCAAAAATTCCACCTCACAGAAATGCTGGATCTGGGAATCAGTGGGCATGTGCTTTTTCTGAAGCTGTATGTCCAGCACACCTGGATCTATAAGATCGGCTGACTCAGGATTTCCAGCCATATGGCTTGACTGGAGTTATAGTCACACTGAGATTGCAAGGCAATGGAACACGTCTTACCTTGATCACAGTTCAAACGAGACTCGGAAAGATCGGGTTCCAATAGGCCGGACCCCTTGCAAAATCAAGTCACGAAAAGTGAAAGAATCGGCAACAGGTCAAGCCAATTTCTTCAGTGCCGCCTGTGCCGGTAGGCGGTAAGTCTAGGTATTCTAGTGTTTTTAGTAAAGAAATTCATTGGAAGTATAAGATAATAATATTCCTTACAAAGAAACCACTCACCCGTAAAATATAAACCCGTCAAATTCTGTATGGCTCGTTCAGGCAAGATTGCAGAAACAAGTCGAAACATCGAGATTGGTCATTAGCTCACTTTTCCCCGGGGAAAACAAGTCCTCGGTGGCGATGCTAGAGGAGCTGGAGTCCGAGAAGCGCACGTACAGATAAGCGAGAACAGGCTTTTCGTAGGAGCACAAGAGGTCAATATTTTCGGTAACGTGTCTCAATGCGAATTGCATCAAGTGAGGTGTGGGTTGAATTAAAATGAAAATAGGCAGCCGTAAGAAGTTTGCTGTAATCATACGGACGATAGATTTCAATTTTCTCTGTTCACTTTGCTTTGTAAATCTCATTTATGAAGTCACTTTTTTGGCTTTTGATGGAGAACAGGCATGTCAGAAGCATCGCTTGAGTAAATTATTTTTTAGGAATAAATTAATGAAGGTCTATTTTTACAATTTTAACGTTAACACATTCTTCAACCTAATTTTTAACGAAAAATTCATGGTTGACGCAGGTTGTGTTGCTGTTTGGTGATTATTGGAGCTTCGAAGATGTGTCCTTGTAGCTCCACAAGTGTAGGGGAATTTGTTGCAGATGTAGCCACAGCAACTGTGGGCAATGATAGCTAACCAAAATGTTCAAATTAAGGGTGTATATTTTACTATCATCAATCAGGGAATTTTTTTGCTGAAGGCAGTACAGGAGTCAGTATATTTCAAAACCGCATAATAATGAAAATAAAACAAGTGTTACTCTACTATACTGAAAGTGGTACAGAGAACAAACAAATTTAAAAGCTATTGTAACCCAGTTAATATCTATTCTAGAGGATGCCCTACCATGTGCCACATACGAGAACCAATCAGCTAGTCGAGGGTCCAGCGTTTGACGCAGGTTAATATTGTTCCGACCGTTGAAGGGAGAGTTGTGCTATACCGAACTCCTGATAACATCAGCCGGTTGCGATCGGCTGGCATGTCATCACGAAACGTTAAATAACTAATGTATGTAACTGCCCTGTCTCGATCCGAGGTGTTGAGCTGGAGGAGGTACTTGTGTGAAACCATTGTGCGTGAGCTATCGACATATATAGGCTATCCGTCAATTGTGGACGTGATAAGTAATAAGGAGAAACTTCTTAAAAACTAGAGGTACAAAGTTTTATTGGGATCATCAAAAATATCAAGCCTAATTGTCTCGAGTACCATTAGTCCCCTACAGACTAGACATGCTAACAGGTGTACAACCGTACATCATCAAGCCCTTTTTACGCGACACACCTAAATCATGATACAAAACGTACGAATAGGTCATTGCGAAATCATTATACAAAAGCAAGAGCAAGGACATACCTAAGTAACAATACAAAACGCACAGATAACCCACTGCGAAATAATTATGCAAAAAACAAGAGTAACCAATTGCGTTGAGATGCTTAATTCCGCAGTTGAAAATTTGGTTTCCAGGTCCATGTACGGCATGCAATAGCTCCCAGATTATACGAACTAGGTTTCCTCCTCATGTGAATTTTATTCGTATCAAATCTTCCATCACAGTGGGAATTTCAATGAGCTTTACTAGAAGGGCTCAGAACCTAGAGATAGAAATTGAATCTGGTGCCGACGCCCTCCATGAATAACCATTAAATGCACAAAATAGGTATAATATTCTAATAGAGCTCGGCCACAAAATTACAAATCGATCGGGAGATGTATTCCAATGCATTTTAACACGTTGGAAATTGCAAAACGAACTGAATAGAATTTCAACTATTCATCATATAAGAATAGGTCATCTTTAGGTCATGTATCGTATCACAAGCTCCAGAGGCTTACCCGCCACTCAAAGAGTTCATAAAAGGCTCCGCTGCGGCGACCTAATAACCATAGTAACGATATTCGACAATATACAGTGGGGGGAAATAAATATTCGTACACTTGAAAAATCGTATTGTAATGTATGTAAGTACACAAACTGAACAGGAGAAGTGATTTATATTATGTATAGAGGCGCATTGTATTCAAAAATAGCATCAATAGAAATTAAATCTCAATGCAATAAAAATTAAAGCATTAATTTTTGTTGCATTGAGATTTAATTTCTATTGATGCTATTTTTGAATACAATGCGCCTCTATACATAATATAAATCACTTCTCCTGTTCAGTTTGTGTACTTCCATACATTAAAATACGATTTTTCAAGTGTACGAATATTTATTTCCCCCCACTGTATATTAATAAAATTACTGACTAAGTTCGCGAAATTCACGCGATATGAGATTGCAGTCACTCCCAACGCTGATCATTAAAAAAAGCCAGTGCTAATGCAGCGCATCGTACTTGTCACCAGCGTGAACCTGAACAACGAGAGAAGGAAGTATGTCGCGGCTACAACACTTGTTTCTGATCAATGATTAAAGCTCAGGGCTTCTTACCGCAATTATTCTGGGATCACTCACCTTCAAAATAATTTGTTATCGCCATCTCCCGGGCATGTTTGACTTCACCAGATATGATTGGTGTCTTTAGGTGAGGGTGGTGCCCCCCTGGGGTGTTTGGTGCTCCCAGGTGTGGTTATTGCTCCTGCCCCAGGGTGGTTGGTGCGTCAAGACACGCTTTGTGCCCCTTAAGTGTATTTGGTGCCTCAATGTGTGGCTGGTACTCCCATTAGTGGTTGGTGCTCTCAGATATGGTTGGTGCCGCCCGGTGTGGTGAGTGCCTCGAGGCATTGTTTACCCCCATTACTGTGGGTCTGGTCTAGTGTGGTCTTCTCTCTGGAG